GTTTACATATTCTTGAAAAGTACTGGGTTCGCCGCATGGATGACTCGGACGATGACATGCTCTTGCACACGTTTATTATACTTAACACAAGACTAACTAAAATGGCCCTGCAAGGCCAACTATATACACACCCACCCAGCACAGCCCTAGTACATTGGAGGGTTTGAATCTCCCGCCTAAGTGGCCATTGGTTGGAGCTGGGGGGAACTAGGATCCTATGCTCCCATTGTCCAGGGGAGCCAAGCTCCTGTCTTGCCGTGGACCCCTAGTGGTGGTCCGCATACACAACAGTTGTATCAACCCAAGTTCATCTGCTAATAATGCAGGGCCGAGCGCCGAAGAATAGATTCTTTTGAACTATGGTGCTGGAGAAGACTCTTGAGAGTCCCTTGGACTGCAAGAAGATCAAATCAGTCAATCCTAAAAGAAATCAACCCTGACTGTTCCCTGGAAGGCCAGATAATGAAACTGAAGCTCCAATACTTTGGCCACCAAATGAGAAGGGAGGACTCACTGGAGAAGACCCTGATGCTGGGAAAGATTGAAGGTCAAAGAAGACGGGGACGGCAAAGGATGAGATGGTTAGACAGTGTCATCGATGCAATGAACATGAAATTGAGCCAACTTCAGAGGACGGCGGAAGACAGGAGGGCCTGGCGGGAGCTGGTCCATGGGGTCGCGGACTCGACTGTGTGACTGAACAACAACAAGCAGAGTTAAACTCTTCTAAGGCGATTGACTTCGATGGACTTAGGAAGGGAGTACGTCTGCTTAGAATTGCACTTTAAAACTTGTAACAGTAATATTTTGCACTTCTGTTGAAAAGAATAAGAAAAGATAGATGGTTGATGCTATTAACCTGCATTTGACCTAATGGAATGCTTTGCTTCCTCATTACAAAGTTTCATTGCATAGGATCTAAAGATGTGTGCAAGTGGTATGCACAGTGGTACTTCCCAAGTTTTTCTTCCAACAGCAGCATCGTGCACTACATCAAAAACCACTTCCAAAGTTTTAGTTAGTTTGAGGAACTGACATGCCACTCAAAGTGGATAATTTTGGTAAAAATGGGACCCGAGAATTACTGCTGCCTTTACGAACACTCTCCTGGTAGTGAACTCTATTGCAAAGACCTGAGTAGGATTCTGAGTAGATTTGTTTATAGGGTTGCCAGGCCCCCGGTCTGGATGGGGGTTCCTCCGCTTTTGTGGGTTGGTTTCCATTGCAAATGGCCCACAATGTGATGTAATGAAGTCACTTGGAAGTGATGTCATCACGTTGCCAACGTTGGGGGGCGATGCTGTCATTTTGGGGCAGAACGCTATGTTAAAATTGGGCTCAGACCATCGAGTTTTTCCCAATAATTAAAGCGTCGCCCCCTGACGTCGGCAACACAATGATGTCACTTCTGGGTGATGTCATCATGGCACTAGAAGATTCCAGAACAGAACAGGGAGCCCCTCCCCCCCCGGAAGCCAGGTACGACCTGGCAGCCCTTTTTGTTTAGGATTTTTCTCTTAGACTAGGGGTGGCCAAACTGTGGCTTGGGAGCCGCATGCGGCTCTTTCAGACATATTGTGCGGCTCCCGGCAGGGAAGCAAGGGGGAGGTATGCCTCCCCAATCGGTCTTCCCTTCCCCAGCCAGTATTCCCCTTCCTGGGTAGGCTTGAGCTGGGGGGGGAGCAGAGAAAGAAAGTCACTTTAACTTTAAATGCATTCTCAATGCCACCCCCCCTTGATGGCCAGCCTCTTTTTCTCCCTTCCTCCCTCCCTCCTGCCCACCCCCATCTATTGCTTTCTGTTTCTCTCTTTCTCTTTCTTTCCACATCTTTCATTCTTTCTTTCTACCTTTCTCTCAAAGAAATAAATATCATTAGCAATATCATTGGACAAATAAATATAATTATCAACATCTGTTTTACCCCCCCTTTAGTTTTTATTTTTGGCAGGCTCATTTAATGTTAATAAAAAGCAAATTTCCATATTTTTCAATTAAAAACATGTGGTATTTGTTCATGTCTTGCGGCTCTCAAACATCCTACATTTATTCGGTGTGGTTCTTACGTTAAGCAAGTTTGGCCACCCCCGTCTTAGACATTTCTGCACATCCTATTAGGGCTAGGTCACATGACCACTTTGCCGGATGATGATTATTATTTTTTGCCATATTGTGACATGTTCACACCACACCAGTCCTACAGATGGGCTTCCAAAGTCATGAACTGTGCATATAGCAGTTCGTTCATTAAGCATTTGTCACAAGCTTGGTGTGATCTAGCAGAAGGATAGCTATCCTCCACAAAATACTCATACAAACATCTCCAAGGTGTCTTAGCATAGAGTCTTATCTGTTGCCTCTATCCTGAGTTAGTCCATCCCTTCTGAAATCAATTATAACCAGGCATAGAACATTACAACTTATCTGGCTTTATGAGGAATAGTTAAGACCTTCCTGGGACTCAATCAGATAATTCTGACAGACAGAGCCCTTGTCAATGAAACAGGAGTCATTACAAAGAGAAACATGTAAGAAACACAGCAGTTCCACATGCTGTAAATCTGAATCAGTATTTTTTTCTGAAGCAGACTATCTCATGAGGCCATCTTCTGAGTCTCTGTGGAGATTTTGAGCTGTTTTTCTTGCTTCAGGTGCTTTGCTATTTATTTGACTCTTTGGATAAACTCGATATCTTTGCCTAGGGGTGTTAGTTCACACAAGGTTTGCATCCCTTTATACGTAGACCAGTCTCTAATGCAAACGTAATAAATATGGTACATTCCGTTTTTCTATCATGTTAAGGTCATTTTTATTTGGCAATATATTCCCAGAAAGGCTCAAATGCATTTTCAGTGTCAAGTGTAAAAATGCACTTTAAAAAAAAGCAAAACAAGAAAACATTAATAAAGTACATGGAAAAAACATGATTATGGACACCCAAATCCTACATATGTAATCTTTCTGAAATACCATTAAGATTTTGCTACCTCACTTGTATCATTTTATGTGACAGTGCTCTGGTGTAGATGCTGGTGGAAATCCCCCCCCTCCATATTACAAAGACTAATGACTTTCTGCATTGTGTTATTGGCTTGGGGTAGACTGATGTATAATTCTGAAAACACAGATTATTAATTGAGATATTTCTGGGTTTTCCCTGGCCTATGCAATTTATATGTCTGCTTACTTCATTTATAGTCTGCCTTTCTCTCTGAGTCTCAGAGTGGACTACACAATTAAAAGAAAACAAACAGTAAATAATATGATGAAACTGTTTCTCAGCTATATGTGAAATACCATTACAATATCGCTGCTATAATTGCATCATGTTGTGTGACAATCCTCTGCTACTCCGTATCTCAAAGATTACTAGTGGCTTCCTTAAGTATGTTTTTTGATTGGGATGGGTTAACTCGTACATGAGAAAACAAATTATTGGTTGAGATTTTTCTGGTTTTTCTCTAGTAACTAGGCGCCTGATCTATACAAAGCAGATCATGTGATAAACGCATTTGTTTATCATATTCATTATTAATTTACATATTACATTTACATTATTTACATTTTACATATTACATTTTTTACATTTACATTTTTACATTTACATTTACATTTTACATATTACATTTTTTACATATTACATATTACATTTACATATTACATTTACATTTATTTACATATTAAATTTACATTATTAATTTACATTTATATCCAGCATTTTTCTTTTGTGAAACTCAAGGGTGGCATGCGTAGTTTCCCAGGATGTCTCCCATCCTGGCAGTGACCCTATCTGGCCTTTATCTTCTGTGTGGTTTATGTACCATGCGCCTTTCAACCATAATTTGGGACTGTCAAACCTTAGCCAAAATGCCATGGTTGAATGTATCCTATCATTCTGTGATTAATTTTCTATGTACATGTGGAAGGGGTTGTTTATGTGGGAGTACAGGGTATGAAAGTGAAACATTCATTCAGGCAACATTATACGTGCATTTTGAAAAGGTACATTCAAATAATAGCTTTGTCACATGATTTGCTGTTTGTGTAGACTGGGGCTAAGATCACAGCTGTTTATAAATACATATGATTCTGAGACAGTGCCTTAAATAAAGGGAGAGAGATTCCCTCACCCCCAAAAAAGTCCTCCTTTTGCATACATGCCAGATAGCAGGTACGACCAGTGTTCCCTCTAAGCTGAGTCAGTGTGAGCTAGCTCACCGTTCTTTAGCCTCCAGCTCACACATTTTTTCCCTTAGCTCAGGAGGAATGGTTCCAGAGCAAACTAATTTCTGCAGTAGCCGAATTGCTCACTCACAATTTTAATGCCAGTAGCTCACAAAGTAGAATTTTTGCTCACAAGACTCCGCAGCTTAGAGGGAGTATTGGGTACGACCACTAAAGTATCGATCAGCCAGTAGTCAGGCTGAAGGTCATCTCTTTATGAATGGACCTTCCCCTTCTGTGGTGGGAAGATCCTCTCAGTATCTCATTGGTCTTAAGCTAAGCTTGCTACCATTAGCGTTATGTACATGAGCTTAACTCCTTCATGACAGAAAAGTTAACATTGCACAAACAAAACCCAACAGGAAAAAATGTAAAGGTTTAGTCAAAAAATAGTAAAATGCAAGATGTACAGACTGTGACAGTTGTATGCAAAACTCAAATGTATCCAAGGTGAGAACAATGTCCATTAGCAGCAACAACAGGTAATGACGCAATCTTGCTAGACAAATCAGGTGAACTAATAGGTGTGCGAAGTGGAAGCACATTGCTAGTGGAGTTTTTAAATATCTTAAGATGTTCAAATTCACTGCATATTTTAAAGGTGGCAAGTCCCATCAAAACTTACATTATTGTTGAAGATACTGTTGTATAGATCCTGTTGCTGGAATTAGTATGTAAGAAGCCCTTGTTTAGTTGCTATTTAACTGCTTGTTTAGCAGTGGACTATAGCGGAATCGATGCACTAAAACAGTCTTTCTCTCTTTTTTTCTTTTTGTAGCAATTGAAACTCAGAGCACCAGTTCTGAGGAACTTGTTCCCAGTCCGCCTTCCCCGCTTCCTCCCCCTCGTGTATACAAGCCTTGTTTTGTTTGTCAGGACAAATCTTCTGGATATCACTATGGTGTCAGTGCATGTGAGGGATGTAAGGTAAGTGTCAAAAACTGGTAAACTTGCTTTTTTCAATTCCATGATTGAGATGCATTCTGATGTTCATGTGGGGAAAAACCCAACCCCATATCCACTAATCTTCCCAGAATAAATTATATACATTCAGCAGTTTGAGTATACCAGTTAGGGTATAGTACGAATAATAAGTTTAACTGATGTTTTAATCCTGTGATATCAGTAGAAGACAGAGGAACAGTGGTGCAGGAATGATGGAAATCTTCCATGTCCATACAGTCTGGCAGGTGTATACTCCAGCCTGTGTGTCATATGCATACACTAGCCACTCTCCCTACAGTTGTTTGCAGGAATTTGATAGTCCCCAACCCTTTCAGAAAGAGTATGGGGTGACAAAGGAATTTGGGGACACTACATATTTGCGTAAACAAAAGAGATGTTGAACAGTAAGTTCCTTGCTCTGAATGTAGCTTGATTGGGTAGAAAGATGCATGATCCTAGCCTCTATAATACTATTTCAAGTTTATTTCCTTGCCTCCTTCCAGCTCCTTTTGGGTCTAGCAATTCCTCAAGAGAGTATATGTTCCCCCATAATTTTAGCTGTTATTAGCTCTTGATTATCTAGGGTTGCCAGGCTAAGACTGGTAACTAGTGTCAGGCTGGGGGGGGGGATGGTGTGTGGGGGGGAGGCACCGCAAGTGTGATGACATTGCATCTGGAAGTGACATCATTGCACTTGCAACACTGATTAGTTTTTTTATTAATGTTTCTCATTTTTAATTTATCTCCTGCCACCACTCTGGGCAACAGGAACTTGGGGTGGGGAATGCCCCACCATGTCAGGAGCTTGACAGTGCTACGGTCAGCTGTTAATTTTTTTATTGTCTTCTGTTCTCCCTTAAGGACCCCGTTTACTGCAAATCAAAGCAATGTTGAATTGTTACAGTATTGTCATTATGGACATCCACAACATCCTTTAATTTTGATTTTGCCTTTGCACATAATTTGACAGGAGGCATTATAACTTCTAGCATTGTACCAGTTGGGGGAGAAACACATAAATGATGTAATGGCAAACTCATTGGTTCAAGACAGTTAAAGAAAATTTTCATCCTGGAAAGACACTATCCACATACAGTGAGGAAGCTAAACATGAAATTTTAATAGTAATTTTTTCCTTTTATGTTACCTTTAGTGAACATGAAGGTATAACTTCACAGACAATTTACTGGGGACAGTCAGTGGTTTTAGCATTTTTTTTAAAGACAGCATGTCACTACCCAAATCAGCATGTCACTACCCAACTCTGTCTGAAAAAAATCACATTTCTTTTGTTTATGAAATGTGGCGTATTTAAGGCTAAATAATACAATATGCAAGATTTGCAATATCTTGTTCAGCATAATCCTAAGGAATTGTGCTTAGAAGTCAATCCAACTGAAGTACCACTAGGTAAAGTATGTTTAGGATCACAGCTTTCGTTATTCATTTGTGGTCATCCTTTAGATTAAAATGTGCCCCTGCATCCATCCCAAGTGCCCTAAAGCATTTTCGATGAAGCTTTCAAAGCTTCCTTTTGTTCCTTATTATGGCCCATCTAGCACCATTTTATATATCCTTGTGTTTTCTTCTGCATTTCTCCCAACAGTTTTTACGTCTTGGTTTTGGTTTTGTTCCTTCAGCTGGGATACTGGGCAAAGGTAGATAAATCCTTTAAGGTAGCTATTTGTTGGCTATTAGAACAGTTTCTTCTTGGTTGGATTTTTGAACGTTCCACTTCTAGTGACAGTCAGTACTTCCAATTGCCAGCCAACTCAACTGTCTTGAAAACTGAAAATGTAGTTTCTTCCTTGGCTTTAATTTCAGCAGACAATTCTATTATCTTACCTTCTTGGCAGCTTTTCTATTACAATTGACATTCACCTGTAATCGCTCTTGGGACGCAGTCAGATGTCTTGAGAAGTCAATTGAAACACTCTCATTGACTTCAGATAAGGATATGAGCCGCTTTCTTCCCCTTTATCACTACCCAAATCCTCCTTAGCTCATTCTGTCAGCAAATTGTTCATCTCTCATCTTGATTAACTTATCCTCTTCTGTATCATTTTATTTCTTACCAGATCTTGGCAGTACTCTTTCAGAGATGACAATTTCCTTTCTTTCCCCCTCCCTCCAACACCTTTTTCCCCCTGAATTCCACCTTTTCCAACAGTCAGTCTTTTTTTTCCTGAATTCCACCTTTTCCAACAGTCAGTATTCCTTCTCAGCTGTTCCTTACAATATATTTCGATCTTTCTCTGCTTCAGTCTTCAGGAATATGAAATATTTAATTATCCTGTTATAAAGCACCATATGGTGTTGATGAAGCTATGTGTTTAATGTTTAAAAATATGTCATAATCTTTTTTACACCCTGACATTAAATATGCCCGTAGCTTACCAGGATGTACAGATAACAGTGCAATCCTATGCAGAGTTAGTCCAGTTGAATCCCATTGGCTTCAATGGACTTATACCAGAATAACGCTTTGAGTGTGTTTGGATCCATACCCAAATTAGGTCATTTGAAAAGAAAGGAACAATTAGTTCTTCCTCAAAACAAGGTCTGCTTAAAAGACATCATAAATGAGATCCCCCCCCAACTCAAGACATTATTTAAAACTGTAACTTTTAGTTTGTTGCCTTGTATACAGCACTGTTCTTTCTGCTGCTGTTGTGGAAGTTGTCTTCATTCCAATACAGGACATACTTATTATTGTGCAGAATCATTTACAAGCCTGCGTGCGGGGAGGGCGGGGTATAAATGAAATAAATAAATAAATAAACTAGAACCATTATCACTTTCAGCTTTCTAACCAAATTTTATGCGGTCCTTATAATCCCTTATTTACAGAAATGGAATTGAGGCTTAGAATCAGTGACTGACCAGAAGCTACAGGAAATATTTTTGGTTGAACTAGGATTTGTATTCTCAGATGCTGGATCTCATACAGAGGCTCAGTTCAGACATCTATCTATCTCTCTATATATATAAGAAAGTCCCCTCACCGTAAAATCAACGCCCAGGCCAAACCACTGGACCTAGAGACACCAAATTCAGGGAGAGCACTTCCACCGTGGCGTAGGTGCTCGCTAACAAGGGATTTTTAGAAATTCAACCCCTAAGTGGGTCAAAAGGGGGAAAATGTGTTCCCCCCATTGATTCCTATGTGGCTGCCAGGCAGTTGCCTCTCTGCGCCCCCCACTCTCTGATTGGTCAGCTGCAGAGTTCAGTGTTCTGAGGTAAAAAACAACAACAGGGGACTGCAGAAAGCTAATGACAGTTGAGGAAATCAGGAGTGGTCAAGAACCACCTGTGAGGTGAAGCAAAGCTGCTGACCCAGCCTCTAATGGCTTCGAACACACTCCCCCCACCT